ACCACATACACTGTACTTTGTATGATTTATATCCTAAGTACAACACTTCTGTACCGAATACGCTGTAAATCCTTTTATAAAAGGTTGATAACCTTGTAACCACATTTCTGTACCATATACGCTGTGCCTCTTGTAAAATTGTAACCTTAGTACCACACCTGTTACATATCCCACTGTACCTTTGTATGATTATATCCTAGCCACACTCTTTTGCACATACGCTTGTGCTAGTATGACTGTAGCTTTGTACCACATTCCTGCACATATACGCTGTACCTCGTAAAATTGTACCTTAATTCCACACTATTGTACCACATACCTGTACTTGTATAAGTATACCCGAATACACACTCATGTGCACATACGCTTGTACCTTGCATTATTGTACTATTATTATTGTTATTAAAATTGTACCTTAATTCCACACTCCTCTACCAAATACGTTGTACCTTGTTAATTTGACACTTCCTGTTCCAATACGCTGTACCTCTTTAAAACTGTACTTAGTACCACACTCCTGTACCAGTTCGCTTGTAAATTTAAATTTACCATAATCTGTCTATATACTGTACCTTGTATAGATGTACCCTAGTTCAGGAACCACAATGTTGTTTTCTACGTGTGCCAGTGCATGTAATGTATAATCAATTGTTTGATTATGGTAAATAATGTTTGTGCTAATGATCGACCGTATTTACATAGTTAATTACAAAATAAGAACCTTTGAGAACAGTTACCTTATGGTTATGTGTGGTAATATTAGAACCGATGAATAAATTAATATTTTACGCTTTCGTTTTTTTTTTGTTTTTTTGTTTTTTGTTTTTTACTTTTTGAGATAGAGGGGGGGGAGGGGGATAGGGGAGGGGTTTTGGAAACTCTCTCTCTCTCTCTCTCTCTCTCTCTCTCTCTCTCTCTCTCTCTCTCTCTCTCTCTCTCTCTCTCTCTCTCTCTCTCTCTCTCTCTCTCTCTCTCATCACCTAATGAGTATTCGCTTCATTACTCATCTTATTACGATGCCCGCTGTTCGATGTCTGTTGTTCATTTGTTCATTTGTCATTTGTTTATTTGTTCATGCGCGTGTACCGGTCCTTTCATTCATTATGATCCCATCTTTGTTATCGTGAGAACGTGCGAAATCAATTTTAATTAGGGTATTCATTCATCAAATTATTTCTCTGACTCACCTACCACCCCCTCCCCTCACCCTCTTCTTCCACTACCCCTCCCCCCCTTACTCCCACCTGGACACGCCCAAACCCATTCACAAAATCAGGATAAGGAATTTCCTGACTTTTTTCCCACAATACACACTTTCTTCCCATTAAAACCATGATCATTCAACATTCAACGTCAACATTCTGAATAATACGCATACCGTTAGATACATAAGAAATAGATCTACATTGCACCATCTTCTGAAAACTGGCAACTTTATATTGATAAGGAAAATTAAGTGATAAGAAAACAGTGGAGGTATAGCGAGTTGGGGTGAAGTCCCCAGAGGAATCAGTCGAGAAAATAACACCATTTCGACCACATACTTCGCCACATTCAACATACATCGAAAGGTAACTCTTTTTTCTCGAATTCGAACACCATACTAAAAGTGTGAGAACAAGAAAGAAGGGGAGGATAAGAGAAAATGTGGAGAGAGGAAGAAGATACAAAGATAAGAGCGGGCAAGGGCTGTTCTCGGCCATGCGTGTTGAGTCGAATTCTAAAGCTTTTGTGAAGGGTAAGGGTGATTGGGTTAGTTTATAATGGGTAAGGGGGGGTTAGTATGGGGTAGGGTGTGTCTAAGAAGAACGTGAAGAAGAAAAAAATGGATAAAATTGGGCTGGATCATCGGTAGTGAAAATCTTGTCGAAAGTATGAGTCACTGGATGGTTAGGATTACCACGTGACTTTAGAAGGTAAAATTATATATATATATATATATATATATATATATATATATATATATATATAATATAATATATATATATATATATATATATATGAAATTATGACATGGCCAAGTATGAGTAATTGATTGTTATCACAGGATATTGTTGTTGTGGCTTTCTTTTTTTTTCCCCATTCTCCCTCGTCTTTTTTGTCCCTCTTTCTCTTTCACGTTTTCTCTCTCTCTCTCTCTCTCTCTCTCTCTCTCTCTCTCTCTCTCTCTCTCTCTCTCTCTTCTCTCTCTCTCTCTCTCTCTCTCTCTCTCTCTCTCTCTCTCTCTCCACTCACCCTTTTGCCCCTTTTCCTCTCTACCCCCTACCCTCCTCCCTGTCTCCCTCTCCTTCCTCCCTGCCTCCTTCTTCCTCTCCCTTCCCCTCCTTCTCCCTCTATTCCTCCCTTCCTTTGAAACCTACACAGTGAACATAACTGACACGTTATTGCAGCTGTTATCACCGTGTATCCGTAGAGTTAAGACCCCTTGTGAACATTATCAAACTACCCTTAATGGCCCTCGCCTTTTAATAATTCAGGAAGATTACATATCCATGCAAATTCCGATATGAATACGTTAAGAATATCATCATCAGCGTTCTGAACTGTGCCACATTCGCACACCGTTCTCTCCCCCCATTCCCCATTCTTCCTCTCCTTCCCTTCCCCTCCCCCCTCCACCAACCAATCGTCGTAATCTCTTAAAACAGATTATTTTCTTTTTTCTCATTTCGTTTTTATTTTATTTTACTTTACTTTTTTTCCTTTTTTTTTTTTTCTCATTGTTTGTTTTTTTCTCCACAGATGGCGAGTGCCTGTGACGTCATAAGTGTCCCAGCTGTCATGGAAGGGATGATGCAGTCAAGACATGGTCAAGGGAATTGGGTTCCTCTTCTATGCTTGAGTTTACTATGGAGGTTTGCAGGTACGTCGGGTTGGGGGGGTTTGGGGTTGGGGGGGTGTATTGACCATGGGGAAGAGGGGGAGGGAGGGGGGGGGGGGAGGGGTTGTACTGATCATGGGAAGAGAGAGGAGAAGGGAGTAGGGTAGGGGAGGTGGGGAAATGGGAGGGGTAAGGTAGGGAAAAGGGGAAGAGAGAGGGTAGGGAGGGGTAAGGTACGGAGAAAAGGGGTAAGAAATAGGGGAGGAGGAAGTGTGGGAAGTGGGAAAGAGAGGAGGGGGAGAGGAAGTTGAAGTGGGGGAGGGAAGAGAAATAGGAGGAGTGGGGAAAGGAAGTGTGGAAAGTGGGAGAGAGGGGAGACAGAGAAAGAGATGAGGGTGAGGGAGGAGAGAGAAGAGAGAGAGGAGAGGAGAGAGAGAAGAGAAGAGAGAGACAGAGAGAAGAGAGAGAGAGAGAGAGGAGAGAGAGAGAGACAGAGAAAAGAGAAGAGAGAGAAGACAGAACAGAGAGAAAGAGAGAGAAGGGAGATTTACAGAGCTTACGTGTGCTTTACCAACAACCTCTCCCTATACCCAACCAACTAGACACTGACAGAGGTTGACAGACACTAACAGACAAAAACAGACTTCAGAGATGGCAGACTTTGGCAGATAGATAAGACACAGACAATGGTAGACACTGACAGACAAGTGACAAACACTGACAGACAAGTGACAAACACGACAGACAAATGACAAACCGAATGACAAGTGACAAACACTGCAGACAACTTACAGACATTAGCAGGACAGATACGACAGACAAATGACAGACACTGTAGACACATGACAGACAATGCCAGACAGATGACAGACACTAACAAACATACCCAGACACCCTCAAAATCACCAGACAACATACCACATACACCATCTCATAAATAAAGAGACACCATAAAGTAACACCATCTCCTTATAGGGGAAGGGCGGGTAACGTAATATTACGGCCAAGTCTACAATTGCGTCTTATGTCTTACAGGAGAATACAAGAGGCCTGGGAAGACAACCAAAAAGTCTGTGACGAAACGGAAGACTTTGGAAAGGCTGATGTGTCACACTACAACAAGACGTGTGAATTAGTGTTTACGGAAAATGTCGTGACGTGAGTATTGTTGTTGTTGTTGTTTTCCGTTCTTGTTTTGAATAATGGGAGGAGAGGAGGAGGAAAATATCATCTTTTTTATATCATTATTATTATTATCATATTATTATTATCATAATCATCATTATCATTATCATCATCGTCGTCGTCATCATAATTCTAATCTTCATTACTGTTGTTTTTTGTTGTCATTATCATCACATTATCATGCACATTTTCATACTTGATTTGAACACATTACAAATGTTTATACCGCTTTCCTCATCCATGAATTCATTGACATTCCCATTACTTGCATTTAACTTGTTTATGTCATTCCGAAACGGTTAACTATTGGCATTCGTCCAGGAATTTGCAACCTTCTACCTAATAATTCTCTCTTTATTAAATTTTAATGAGCTGTAGCCCCCCCCCACCCCACCACCACATGTCACCCCCCACCCCCACCCCCCACACACGTCACGTCTGACACCCGCGGCCCACACACTTTCTGTCATCAATTTTTCTATTTGATGTTTATTTGTGCTTATCTTCAAAGAGCTGAATTTTGCATCAACATGGGGAACTTTATCAATTCTCACTGCGCGGATGCCAGGACTGAAGATGTGACTCGGGGAAGGCTAGTCAGTAGCAACGCGAGGAGGTGTCATGGCGTCTGATTCTATGTTTGAAAAATAAAATAAAATAAAAAAAAATAAAAAAAAATAAAAAAACATTTTATGACGTCACAAAGTTATGGGTGCTTTGAGAGTATGGTCGTCATTTTTGGTCTCTTCAGTTTTCAATGGGATGGAAAATTATTTTAATGGTTATATCTTCGTTGAACAATCATCCAAATAGCCCGTGCCTTTCCGTCTCTCTCTCTTCTCTCTCTTTCTCTCTCTTCCTCCTCTCCTCTCTCTCTCTCTCTCTCTCTCTCTCTCTCCTCTCTCTCTCTCTCTCTCTCTCTCTCTCTCTTCCTCCCTCCCTTCCCTCTCCCCTCTCCTCTCTCCCTCTCCCCCTCCCCTCTTCCCTTCCCTATCCCTTCCCTATCCCTATCCCTCTCCCTCTCTTTCCTCTCCCTCTCCTCTCTCTCTCTCTTCCTCTCATTCCCATCTCCTACAATCCATTTCTTCCTACGAGATCCTCCCAGTACGAAAACCTTCTTCACGTGATTTCTGTTGCCCATTATTTTCCTCATCCGACCCACGCCTTCCAAGCAAGCAGCGAGAGACGACGATTTCCAGGATTCTCCCCCGGTTGCCTGGATCCGCGGGAGGAGGAAGGGAGTCGTTCGCTTCGGCCTCTCGTCCGCGCCCGTTGCCGCTTCTCGCGTTCGTTTCGCCCGGAAGAGGAAGGGACGGTTGGCTCCTTAGGGCGGAGGTGTCTTCATGATCAGGGTGGTATCTTCACAGTCGTCCGTATGATTTGGTTGGGGTGCTGTTGCCACGGAAGCTTCTCCCGTCGTGGTGTTAAGGGGAGGACACGTTAGCTGTGACCATGTCGCTGTAGGAATGATTTTTTCCATGTTCAGCATGTCAAGGGAGAGAGCGAGAGAGAGGGGGGGGGGGGAGGAGAAGAGAGGGGGACAGAAGAGAGAGGGAGAGAGAGAGAGGGAGGGAGACACACAGAGAGAGAGAGAGAGAGAGAGGACAGAGAGAGAGAGAGGGAGACACAGAGAGGAGAGAGAGAGAGCAGAGGGAGAGGGAGGGAGACACAGAGAGAGAGAGAGAGAGAGAGAGAGGGAGACACAGAGAGAAGGGAGAGCACAGAAGAGAAGAGAGAGAGAGAGGAGAGAGAGAGAAAAGAGGGAGAGAGAGAAAGAGCAAGATAAAGAGAGAGAGGAGACAGAGAAGAGAGAGAGACAGACACAGAGAGAGAGAGAGGGAGACACAGAGAGAGAGAGAGACACAGAGAGAGAGAGAGAGAGAGAGGGCGTCAGCATGCAGATCCCGGCTCTTCTCCTCCAAATCAGCTGGACAATTCGCACGAGATTCGCCTCCTCTGGCTGGCGTTCGAGAAAAAAAAAAAAAACCCAAGTCGGACGCTGCAAATTCAGGAACCTCAGCAGCGGCATTCCGTTTCGTGAGGGCGTCCGAGGTGTCATCCACATGGGCGCCTGACACACGCCTCTTGTCGGTTGCCTCGCGATCCGGAACAAGGTCTCTATAAGTGCCTTGATCCGGAACGCCACCCGGACGAGCCAGCGTGTGTGTGTGTGTGTGTGTGTGTGTGTGTGCGTGATCTCTTGGCTTCCATGATTTCGTCATCGCTTCAGAAATTCTGTATAACTCGTTTTACATTATCGAACGTGCGACAATTAGCATTTTGCATATATTAATCATTCGTTTACTATCATGATTGCATAGATAGAATAAATGACAAATAATATATGCCATTTATTACACTTCATAATCGTAGAAAAAAAACAGTATAAGCTGAGCAATTAATCTACTCTGTTTATGTGACGTACAGGCAGTGACGTTATCAATGACGTCATCCACGGGGCGACTATCTCAGCCCTGATTGATGACGTCATGGTGGGAGGCCTCTTATCAAGTCTGACTCTTGCTTGATAAAGAGCCAAGTCAAATGCTTGATACCTGTAGCATAGTCATCATCAAAAATATTACCTGTACACTCTCAAATCGTTCATAGTATTATTGTATTGAACAGGGCTTAGTTAGTTAAATGGATAGAGTGTTGGCAGCGGATTCGTTACACTTCCTCGCTTCGCTTTATATCGTTAGTATTGTTATTATTGCTATTATTATCATTACTATTAAATCTTTGTTATTATTCTTGTTATCATCAACATTATCATTATTATCATAATGACTTATCATATTATTACTATGATTATAATTTATTATTATTATTTCATTATTCATATTAATCATCATTATCATTGTTATCATTATTATCATTATTGTTATCATCATTATTGCCATTATTATTTTCATCATTATATTTTTTTTATCATTATTATGATTATATCATATTATTTTTTCATTATCATTATTATCATTTCATCATTATTATCATTATCATCTTTGTTTCATCATCATTATCATCATTATGATTATCATTATTACTATCATTATTATAAGCATTATTACTATCATAGTTATCATTTCACTATATTATTGTTATTATTACTATCATTGTTATCATCATCATATAATTATCATTCCATTGTCATTATCATTTATTATTCCATTGTTATTATCATTCATTATTATCATTATCATATTATTATCATCATCATCATCATATATCTTATTATTATTTCATAGTCTGTACCATAACTATTATCATTATTATCACTGTTATCATTATGTTTATTATAGTTATTATTATTATTAATAGCAGTAGTAGTAATACAGTTATGATTATTAGTATTACAATTGTTACCATCATTTTCATTACCATCACATATTATTATTGTTGTTGTTGTTAGTAGTAGTAGTATCATTATTACTATTATCATCATATTGTTATTACCGTTATCTCTATTGTTATTATCATTATCCTTATTTTCAGTACTATCATTGTCGGTATCATTATTATCATCATTAGATATTATTATCATTGTCACTATTAATATCATTATCATTATTATTAGTTATTATTATTATCTTTTTCTATTATCATTATCACTATTATTACTATTATCACTATTATCATTATTATTATTATTATTATTATTATCATTATTATCATTATCATTATCAACCTTATCATGATAATACCGTTGTTGTTATCGTTATTTTTGTTGGTGTTGTTATTCTTATTTTTATTACTATCAATATTGTCATTATTACTATTTAACATTAGCATAATTATCATGACTAATTATCATCATTACTGTTATCACTGTTGTTGTTATTATTGGTAATATTGTTGTTACAGTTGAAAGAAGACGCACAAAATAGTTATAATAGTGTATTCACCTTATGTTATGTGAACGGAGGGTAGAAGTATGTGAACACCTTTGAGAACTATAACATTCACTTATGATTCATAATTCTTGACCGATTTACTTATAATACATAATTTTTGAGTTCGATTTGCTTATAATTCATAAATCTTGTACCTGATTTACTTATAATTCATAATTTTTGAGTTCTATTTACTTAAAATTCATAATTCTTGTACCTGATTTACTTATAATTCATAATTCTTTTCTATTTACTTATAATACACAATTCTTGAGTTCGATTTGCTTATAATTCATAAATCTTGTGTTCGATTTACTTATAACTCCTAATACTTGTGTTCGTTTACTTATAATTCATAAATCTTGTGTTAAACTTACTTATAATTCATAATTCTTTGCTTACCAATTCATAAATGTTGAGTCCTATCATTAAACATCAAATATTAATTAACTAATTATCATTAAATAATAATCTGGTCTTGAGGGTAAAATAAAAAGTTTTGAACCAATTTTGACCACCGTATCAAAAAATAATAATAATAATAATGACCATTATACCAAGGTGATGTAACAAGATTATTAATTCATTTTGAAATGCTTATTCATTCATTTTATCATGCACGTCTATTTATAAATCTAATAACGTTTTATCAAAGGATGCTAAATCAGTCCGTTTTATGTAAGGAAGGATAATCAACTCTGCTTCAGAATGTTATGTATTCTCTGTCATCCTTTTGTGTGTGTGTGGTGTGTGTGTGTGTGTGTGTTGTTTGTGTGTGCGTGTGTGTGTGTGTGTGTGTGCGTGCGCGTGTGTGTGTGTGTGTGTGTGTGTGTATGTGTGTGTGTGTGTGTGTGGTGTGTGTGTGTGTGTGTGTGCGTGTATGTGTGTGTGTGTGTGTAAAAAGGGACAATGAAAATAGCAAGAACTTTGATACATCGTAAGTATTAAGCATAAGACTTCAGAGGAAAAGCAGCTCAAAATGTCTAGGATACAGAAAGCTTTAAACATCTCAATATTACTTTCTTCTTGCATAGAGCAGCCTTAAGACATCACAAATATGACTTTCCTCTTGGTACAGAGA